TAAAAGTAGAAGTTATAACACAGTTCATGGAATGATATTAACTAAAGGAATAACAGCTGACAATATAACTTATTGTTGTTTTTTTTTTTTGGTCATTTTACCTAGAAACCATATACGAAAAAAAAGAAGAAGAAGAAGAAGGTAGTTTTGGCATATTCCACTACTTATTTCCGAATACAAAATAAAGTTACACATAAATATTTTTAGTTAGATAAGATAAATCTCAGAAATAAATTGCCATGACGGGTTCGTGTTATAATTCCAGAACACATTTTATTTACGCTGTTACGTATCTGCTTGTTTGTTATTTTCCCGTAGAAATTATTTCCGATAAACTTCAGCGATACAAGTCCTTTCTCAATTAAAACTAGTTTATTCTTTCTCGATACAACTTTGCAATACACAGAATTTCCACAGTCAATACGTTTGCAATCTCGATAACAAAACACACACTTTATATTACCGTCACTACCGCTCGCTTGACTTATATACAAAAAAGAGGGCGTCTAGAACAGACTAGAGTTGCCAGGAAAAGTCAAGATCCTTAGAGAATCCCATGACGTGTTACCAGAGTCACGTGACTTCCGCTGTCGTAACAACGCCATACCTTGATCGTCTAAGCAGACTATTGGAAAAACAAGGATACACCACAATTATTTACGATTCTCAAAAGCACAGAGAAAACTTATTAAAGCTAATGTTTTACAGGCAATAAAACTAGACGATTCTCACACAAGCTAGGCCTCTGGTGGCTCAGCAGTAAGTCTGAGGGCTTATCATGTTTATCAATTGTATGACTGTAGTTCCAACCCAGTTATCCATCCAGTTCAATAAATATATCAGCATTTTATGGCAACAAATCATTAAGTTGATGACACTGTGTTGAGTCTAAATTGTCAGTTTAATCCTCAGCTAGCGATTTCAGATAGTTTGGTATTTGTGTGTCCGCTTTCAAATCCAGTACGAAGGTCACACTTTTAGCGTTACCACTAGCATCAGTTACTTTTAGTTTGCTTACAGTGCCAATGACCATTTCAGGGTATAGCTGGAAAACTGATCGTCCGCAATTGCAAAAACTACTGGACTTCACCCCCTCAAACATATAACTGTCCGAGGTAATGCTACTTGTTTTGTGGGTAGAAAGTAACCTGATTCATGCCAGGGTTCAATAACTGTGTTGCATGACACTGATGTACTGATATTGACCACAGTAAATCGGGCTGAGCATGGCCAAGTGGTTTGGGTGCTCGACTCGCTATCTGAGGGTCGTGGGTTCGAATCCCCATCCCACCAAACATGCTCACCTTTTCAGTCGTTGGGGCATTATAATGTAACAGTCAATCCTACTATTCGTTGGTAAAAGAGTAGCCCAAGAGTTGGCAGTGGGTGGTGATGACTAGCTGTCTTCCCTCTAGTCTTACACTGCTAAATTAGGGACGGCTAGCACAAATAGCCCTCGTGTAGCTTTGCGCAAAATTCAAACCAAACCAAGCCATAGTAAACCAGGGCAACATCACTTGTGTACCAGGAGGTACAGTGACTTTCTCTCCCACATACACTAATGCAGAATACTGTTCTCTGAGTCCATTTGGCGAAAAATTGGATAACTCTATCACATTACATCAGTTCATCTTTTGCACAGGTAAAGCTGACCCATAAGCTCTACAGTAAAACCATTACAATGCCAGAACCAAAACCGACGACAACTACCTTCGTTCTGCACGCGAGCCTTCCTAGAAATTGCTCTAGTATAACCTTTCCATTCATGTCTAATTTTTCTCCATTTGCCACAAAAAATTTATTGTAAATAGGCCTGAGTATTGGTTTTGCTCTGAGCTCCTGATATACCATGAGATCTGTTAGTGTTTTGGCCACTTCTGTATCAACCTGGAACTCTATGTATTGCCCTTGTACTCCAACTGGCACGTACCAAGACCCACTGAGTCCTTAAAGAGTTAATCTGATCACCACATGTTTTAATGTAAGCTGACTGTTACATTTTCTGGATCAATAGCCGGGTACAACTTGGGCTATTCTAAATTCCCGGAGTTACAGCTGCACTATTCACTGCATACTATTGGCTCCTCCAAATCTGTTGCACCACTGATCTAAACTCACAGCCTTGTCTACCTTGTTGCTCAGCAAGGTAGAGTCAGTTTCCTCGAAATTGACTCAATACTCCAGAGGCATTAGAAACACATGTTGCAGTACTTACACCAAGGGAGGACCGGAATAACCTTGCCTGTTTATTAAATACCAGCGTGACTGCATCATAATGCCAGGATGTGTGGATGTTTAGAAAACCCTTGGCTGAGTTCCAACCTAGTGCAATGTAGGTACCTTGGTAGGGCAGTGAGTGTGTGATAAGGTAATTGCAGCTGCTGATACAGGAGTGTTACTTTCCTGTGACTGACTCGAAGCTACTACTTTGAATCAAATTCATGACAAAAACCACGTCAGTAAGTTACACTGAGTTACCCTTCCACAGACTCGTCCATGAGAATATCCTCACGAGTTACTGAGGTAAGATTGTGCTTTTACTATTCTCTTTTTTGTAAAATCATTCTCTGTCATAGGTCATCCTCTACACAAATTACTTGAAAAGCCAAGTAAGTTTTGTTGGACTAATAATTGTGAACATTTATTCAACAACCAGAAGAAAGAATTGACCACTACTACTGTATTAGTATATCTAAATTTTGAAAATTCATTCATTTTAGATACAAATTCCAGTGATTATGCAGTGGGAGTAGTTTCGTCAAAAGTACAACATGGAAAAGAACACGTAATTGCATACTATAGCAAAGCAATGAATGCTGCAAAAAGAAGATATTGTACAACTTGGAAAAAGCTAATAAGTATTGTTCAATTCCTAAGTCTTTTCAACCATTACCAATATTGACAAAAGTTTACACTATGAATGGATCATGCAGTATTAAAGTGACTGGTGAATTTTGCAATCCAGACAGACCAGATGGCAAAATGGCGCCAATATCTCTTGGAGCACAACTTTAACGTTATACATCACTCTGGTCAGAACAATGGCAATGTTGATGCATTTACTCAAAGAGAATGTGCTAATGAAGAATGCGAAATCTCTAAAAAGAAGGAAGTCATCCTATTTAAGGTATAATACAAGATGTGAAATCCACATGGGATTACGTACAACTAATGTGGTTCCAATACTCATCTGAAAGGTGCTAAGCCAAAAGCTACGAGTTTGAAACCGTTTATTGAGTGTATCAAG